ACCTGTTGTTAATGCAGCAAGTATGGCTTCAAATTGAAATAAGAATTGTAAAATGTGGCAAAGTCTGGGAACACTTTAGAAACAATAAAGGATGAGTAGAACAAAAAAAGGGAGAAATTTGATCATGACAGAAGGGCCCAGTCCTGCTCCTTCTCCTAATGAATTCTTTACTTCCAGATGATTTCAATGGTTTCTGATGGAAATGGTAGGAAGAGGGAATGTTGAAATGTGAAGACCTACCAGTGATCTCACCATTGCTTCATTTGATACCATTTTTACACCCATCAAACATGGGGTTTCAGCACTGCACTACTTCATTTCTTAATCAGACGTGGTTTTCTGTCTCCATATTTATTGCACCAGGCATTAGCCAAATTGCCTTTGTATGTTCTACTCTAGAAAATATTAGAAATCTTTGTAATAAAAGTTACAAATATATTTGATGCCATTGGGGACCACTTAAAAAGCATCTGCAAACCTTCAATTTAATCTATCACTCCCTGTAAATAGCTTAACACTTTGCAAGCTCTTTGCCAAGCTGAAGTGTCTTGGAACTTGCCCATATTATGTAAATGATGCTAATGACAAAATCAAGCAGATGCTAATAAAGAATCACTCATTTAAAACCCAATTGGGAAATCTACACTGAAGTCATTTTGCCAGAGCTCTTAAGGCCAGAACAGAAATCTCAAGTTTCATAAAGGTAGGAATCCCAATCATTCCATTTCAAGATATCCGTTCCGGACCCTCATTTTGTTGTAAGGTTTTCAAAGACTGATTTCTAACATTATGAAACATAAGTCATTAATCTGAAATGTTGTTTAGCTCTCTCCAGATGCTGCCTGATTTGATCACTGTTTCCAGTATTTTACTAGCACTTCTGTAACACAAAAGGACTTCAGTAACAGCCACTGCATTGCAAAAATGAGACTGGAAACTTCAGGTGCTTATGCTAGGGTTATGATTGTCTTTTTGGGGGTTGGGTTCCCAGGTAACCTATAAAATCATAAAACAGATTAGTGTCACCTTTAATACAGCAAGGTGTCCCAAAAAACTTCAGGAAATGCTACCAATTTTTTTTTTTTTTTTTTTTTTTTTAAATTGTCAGATTCACATTAGGAGACATCAGAGAAGGGACCAAAACTTTGCAAAGACAGAAGTTTCATAAAGGAGCACAAGAGAGGTTTAAGAAAATGCCAGCGCTTAGGACCCAGGAAGCTGGAAGTGCAGTCACCAAATGGTAGAGCAATTAAAACTGAGAATGCTCAACAGCCTGAATTAGAATGGTGCAGAGATCACAGAAGGCTGTAGAAGCTATAAGCCAGAAAGAAACTTGAAAATAAGGATTTTAAATTGAGGCTTTGCTGTATTTAAGTAGTAATGTAGGCCAGTGAACACTTTGGTGAGAATAGTCCAAAACTGGCAACAGAAATGAGCTCAGGTTTGTGGTAACCACACATTTCAATTTACTAGGAATCTCTCATCCCAGATTTATGAATCAACTGCAGCAAAAAAAAAACCCAACAGGTTTGCATTTGGTGTCCCAGCATCAAATTATAGCAAACAAACAATCTTCCAACACAGCACCAGCCCTATCCACAGAAAATCCCAAGCACCCGTACAGCCAAAAAAATTACACATCATCACCTACGTAGAAAAAAATGTTGCTAAAGTAGAAAATGGGATTAAGAGCTGAAGTGATCAAGGATACAAGTATGCTACTTACCAGGTTGCTCTGAAGCTGTTCTGTAAGCATGTGTACATCAATGGATGCCATTCCTTTAACACGTGAACTCCTAATACATCAATTTTCAGTGACTTAAAGAACTATTTTTTAGCTTAAATTTAGTATCAGGTTTTCTACCGAATCATTTTTGCTCTGTACTTAATTTCTGTTTTTAAATCTAGTTATACTTGTGACTGAAATAATTTTAGAAGTAATTAGTCAGGGTACCAAGGCATGAAGTACGTGTATGTACAGGCACTGAATAAAGTGAACTCCTGCTCTTCTGAATGTCTAATCCCACTTTCGGAAGAAAGATTTAATTCCAGTTTATGCAAAGTGCTATATTTAAATTGTACCTTTACAGCTGAATATCTCAACATAACCTGACTTGAATGCAATACATTTTATTTACTTTGATCTTTGTCTAGCCAGTTAAGACGAATATCTCAGACAGGAACGGGAGGTAGTTATTAAATTAGAAGCTGAAGCATCAAGTTTTTAAGGCTAAGAACTCTGAATAGAAACAAATATATTGTTAACATTGTGCTAAGTGATTAAAAATATATATACTTGCTAGCATAATTGAAGATGGAACGCAACCTTTGATGGGCTTGGATGGTTTCCTGCCAACTGGAAAATACAATTCTGCCGTGAGGCATTGCAGACATCCAATAGCAAAGCACGACAAGTAATTAGTTCAGCCTTCCCAGACAGGAATTACATTAGACAGTGAGAGTGGTAAAATTTGGCCAACATCAGTACATTTGGCAAAAGTTGAAAGTAGTTAGAAAATGTAATTATACAGAACTTGAGCTCAAATCTCAAGTAAATGAATGATGGCTGGAGTTTTACATATTTTTGGAACAGCCAAACAAGTTATTATATGTGATGTTTGATTGAACAGAATATGGTCAATTGCAAATAATGTACAAACTTCACCTCTTGTATACAACTAATCAGAAGACTAGCAATTTCAGGTGAAGTGTGAATGGCAGAAACACTGCAAGTTACAGTTATTACAGATAACAGGCACTTCAGCAGGAAAGATGCGAATACACTTGCTGGTGACATCAAAGCAAAAGCAAGAGATTCAGTGGCCAGCAGAACATTTTGAAGTAAACTCTCCACTAATCCAAGGCTGTAAGATCTCTCTTTGATCCGTACAAAAAAGGTACTGAACTACAGAACAGATGCCGTGCATCCAAACTTAAAGAAAAAAAATCAAATTGCTGAGTTACAGTCCAGTGAATAATAGTGTCAGCAAGAAAAAAAACTAACAGATTACCTAAGTGAAACAGTAAGCAACTGGCAGACATTGGGAGACACTTAAGACACATGCATTCATCAACAGCTTCAGAAACTGCAGTGGAATAACAACTTTTAGGGCATAAAGAATCCAGCAGAATATGGTCTTAGAAAATGGCCATTTCAAAAGAATTATCCCTGGAAAAGTACATAAGATAATCACAGATTCTCACAGAGATATCATTTACTGTTGCTTTCACAATCTATAAGTTGGTGATGCAGGAGAGGACTAGGATCAGAATCCTTTATTGATCAGTACTTGGTTAGAAACAAAAAAACAGTTCAGATTGCAAAAATTAAGATGTAACAGCACAACTATCGGGCACACTAAATACGCAAGCCATTCATTATTTTCCTCATTTGTCCTTCAAGCATACAGGCAGAAACATGTGAAATTATTTCTATGCATATGTCATTGAAGCATTTCACATATAAGATGGTTGCAGTGTTTTTATTCCATGTAACTCACTTTGAATAAAGGGATTAAAATTAAATGTATTAGTCTAAAAATACTTGAATACATCTGTTAAGTTGTAAAACTTGGAATAAATGCATTTTCTTTAAATAATTTAGGCAAATACAAATTTCAAGCTCTGGGACACAAACTCCCTGAAGAAAGCTGAAATTCTTAGGCAGCACTGAAATGGAAGAACAAGAATCACAATTAGCAGCTGCTATTCTCTCTTCAGTGTAAGGGCACAGAAACATAGTAAACTGCAACAATTTTCAAATGACATCACATGTTTATAATTAAATAATAGCAATTGATTCATCAAAAATTAGCATAAAGCCAATTTTTCCTCAAGGTATAGGAAGTAACAGTAGAGTGTAAACACTTTTGGTTTAGGCTTGGAGAGCATAGGCATAAATTCCAGTTATGACCAACCTCTGATTATTATAAGATCACAAAGATGAAAAACAGTAAACAAGATTGTGGTGCCTCAGAAGGGTGTGTACAGAGGATCTGTTTATTTAATCTCTGCTACAAAAAAATGGAAAACAGCTCAATTATCATAGCATCGTTTTAAACAACGTCTTCAAATTGAAAACAAAAATGGAATGGATAAACATTGGAACCTATCCTCGAAATTGAAAACATTGAATTTTAGATTTTCACTCAAAACAAGGTGGACAATCTGTAAAGTTTTAGGGTTACTTTAACTCCAGTTCCAAGACCCAAAATCAGATACAAAGATAGACTGAGTAAAGGGAGCCAACACCTGGTAGACAACCCATCATGTGGACAAAGTGTAGAGGTCCTGAATATGGTATAAGTGGCAATGTAGTCATATTTCAAAAAAGAAAATTCCTAAATTTTCAAAATATAAGGCCAGGAAAACAATTTAAACTCCGATGACTGGCTAAGATTTTGTTAGAAGTCATGCAACTGTCACTTCACCGGACAAAGGAGCAGCGCTCCAAAAGCTTCTGGCTTCAAATAAACCTATTGGATTATAATTTGTGTCACATGACTTCTGACCTTGTCCACCCCACCCAGTCCAACACCAACACTTCCACTTCATGGCTAAGATTTTGTTACAAGGGTTGCCAAATTTACAGATGTATTAGAAGCAGATCTTTAATTTGTCAAAAAGGATAATAAAACATAACATCATTTTCTGAATAAACATCATTGAACACAGATCAAAAGCTCATTTGGATCAGGTCAGCAAGCACAGTCTTGTGAACAAACTACTGTTGTTCATATGATATTGGCTTGTCACCTTCAAGCTGACATTTAATCATACAACATAGTAATAGGATGTGCACTTTGAAAATGTAGCAGTACGTGCAGTGATTTATGATCAAATTGATTTAATTATCTTATTACAAGATTTCTTGCTTCAGATGTGAATAAACCCTCTCTTTGCTACATAGCAAAGTAATGAGAATAAATTCAAGCTAATTTTCCTACCCTACTATCATTGAACTAAAAAGTATTGCCTTACATACCAAGCACATCCATAAATAATGTCAAAAAGGTTTATTGTTATAAAAAATGAAATACACCTAATGATTCGTGCAGTTGACTTACTGTTAGAGTCCATAACTAGAATAGTAGTCTTACAGTCACTATCGAGATCAGGATCTTGAAATTACCCACAAAGCATGAAAGAAGCTCACTATACACTTCTCAATTTGCTGTTTCCTGAAGAATCCACAGCTTGTAACATTCTCCGAAGAGACATTAGGCAGTGTCTGAAATGGTTTGGCAGAACATCACGTTCAGTTTGTACCAGTAGAGCCAAAACCACCTGCACCGCGCTCAGTTTCATCCAGGCTCTGCAAAAAGACAAAAAGGGTGGGAAAAAAAGGTTAAATTTTAGCCAAAAAATGAAACCACAATAGGAAATGCTTGTTTAATATATTAAGTCACCTTCAACTCCTCAAGTTCTGGATAGCAGATGCGTTCACAAATCAGTTGAGCTATTCTGTCGCCCTTTTTAACTACCAAAATATAAATTCAAAAGAAAAAAAGTTAAATGATTAGTATTTTTCCCCAAAATAATTCAATAAAAGTAGTCCTAGCTATTTAGTTAGCCTGCATTCCCTTCCACTTAACACAATATGTGGTTCAAATCCATCTGAACATTGTCTGATGTCTTAGAATGCTTACCTGCAGATTAAAAATGAACAGATACCACAGTGAGCAAACAAACTACAAAGCTGTCCCCAGTTTATTAGAAAACATAATTACCATTAACAGTCCTCATGCATTGAAACCTGGAAGTTTATTGCAGGGGGCAAAAAGTTTAAAAAAATCCACCTCTTCAAAAGTTCTTTTAAGAAAAGAGCAGCAGTCCAATTAGAAATTATTTCCACCGCCAAAAATATTTACCACATATTTTCCTTTAAGTTAATACATTATTTAATGCCAAAGTTTGATAGTGGGTTATTGTCACTGACTCAAAGAATATTCATTCCATTACTGCTACTTTATTACTTCACAACAAACAAAAGAGAGTATTGATATCTAAAGAGTGGTAGCTAGACTATGAAATATACAATGCAGCTCAATCTGTTTAGTTTCTGGTAATATTCAACGCAACTGGATAAATCTATTCCAAGCATCGCTTAGCAAGACATTCAACACAAATCCCCTCTTAAAAACGCAATGACTCACACCAGATCAATTTGCAATGCCAACAGTCCTTTGGTACCAAGAAGCCATTCGTCATGTATCAGCAATTTAAATTTGACAAGCAACTTGGCTGAGGAGTGTTGTCTGATTGTCACCCAAGGCCTAAATGTGGAGAATCTAAAAAGCTATCCAGATTCCAAGAGCAATTTCACCCCATGCCACCAATACCCCACACCCCATAACTCATACTTGATGGCCAGTTGATGAAAACATCTCCAATTTAATCCCAGGCACTGCCAAAAATAATTCAACTGGGCCCTCTGGAACAAATCATGTTTTTAAAAACAGGTGGAAATGGTCATTAGTTGATGGCTTAATACAACTCAAGAGTACAATAGTCTGGCAGCTCTCAAAATAACTGCCAGAATCTCATCTGTTATTTGTTTCACTACATTGTGGATTTTGACAAATGGAATTTTGCACATCTTAAGATATATTTACATAACCGATAATTGCAGAGAGTCACGATTCAGAACAATCATGTTAATTGTTAACGATATTGCATGGGTTAGAGAAATCTGAAACATGGACAGCACTCTGATAGGGCAAGATAAAATGAAATAACAAGTGTGAGAATAAATACCTAATTACATTTTGAAGAATTTCTTTTACATTTCCCAAATGTTTTCCATACCAACCTTATCAAATAATCTGGCAGCATATTTCATGCAAGTATTAAAAATCTGTCTCAAAGAAACTCCCCATTAGTGGTCACAGAATAAATGCATTGCCCCCTGCAGTTCTGCACTTCAATATTATGTTCACAATTTTTTTGCATGGAGAAATGACAGAGGAGCTTCCAAAGTCTTCATAAAGTATGCCATTCTCTACATGGTAACAGAAATGAGTGAAACTTACCTTCAAAGTCTTCGTTTCCAAAGTTGAAGAGAACTACACCAACATTTCCTCTGTAATCCTCATCAATAACACCAGCTGAGAAAAAAAGGGAATAATTTTTTATTTTAATAAAGATCCTTAAACACAAAAAGGCTATAAGTGGGGATCACTAGGCAAGATCATTCATATACATAGGAGACAATTTCTTGCATTCTTTAAATACTTTGAAGGTACACCTTTCATATAAAAATAAGCATTTGGTCAAATTTGAGATGTTCAGGGATTCAGCAGTGATTGAACCCCTAGCCCAAGACTTGTTCTGGATGCTATGGCCAGGAAGAGAGTCCCATCAATATCCACTTTGTAAACCTACTTAAGCAATTTATGTACTTCAATTAGCTCTGCAAAGCATACAATGGAGGTGGAGTAGACAATTCAGACCGTCCTCAAATAGAGGAGGCCAAAACCATGCACAATACTCCAGAGGTATAGTCTCATCATGGCCATGTACAGTTGCAGAACATCCCTGCTCCTGTACTCAAATGCCATCGATACAAAGGCAAACATACCATTTGCCTCCTTCACCTGCATGCTTACTTTCAGGAACTGATGTATGAAGACAGCCAGGTTTTGTTGCACTTTTCCCCTTCCCCCAATCTATCAAGAAAACAGACCCAGTTTACTAGTATTTCCAGAAATTACACATATTTGGCTTACATTTCCTTGAATATGGAAGATTAATGGGCAGTAAAAGCAATGAATACAGTGTAGGAGGCCAGTCAGCCTATCAATATATGCATGGCTCTCCAAATGAGCATTTCACCTAGTGTCAATCTTTTGTCTTCTCCCCTATAAGCATGCACATTGCTCCTTTTAACTTACAAGTCCAATTCCCTTGTGGATGTCTTGATTGAACCTGCTTCACCATACACTCAAGGAAAGTCCATTCCGGATGCTAACCACTCTCTCGATGAGAAAGTTTTTCCTCATTGCTTTTGTATCTTTTCCCAATCACTTTAAATCTGTGCCTTCTTGCTCTCAATCCTTTCATGAGTGGGCACAATTTGCCCATTTTTACTCTATCCAGACCCCTCTCAATTTTAAATGCCAGATCTTCTTTCAGCATTCTCTTCCAACAAAACAAACAGTCCTAAATTCTCCAATCTATCTTCATAACTGAGGTTCTTCATTCCTGGAGTCATTATCATAAATCTTTTCTGCACCCTCCCAAATGCCAGAGGTGGAGAGTTATGGCTAGATGCAACATTTCCGCAAAGACCGAATTAGTGTCTTCTACAAATTCAACATAACCTTGCTTATGTACTTTACGCCCGTAGTAATAAAGACAAAGCTACTATGATGTTTACAGAACACACTCTCAATCTTTCTTGTTGCTTTTAATGGCTTATCCACAAATACACCCAGATTTCTCTGCTCCTGTACCAGCTTTAAATAGGTGCATTTTAAATTGTCTTAGCATGTCTTTCCTATCTCAGATTCCTCCCCTTCAAACTTCATCTTCCAGCTATCTGCACATTCCACTAAAGTGCCTCTTCTTGACATTCTACACTACCCTCTTCAGTTTACAATGCTCCCAAGTTTTATGCCATGCACAAATTTTGAAATCATGCCCCGTTAACCATGATCCAAGTCACTGACATACATCAGCAAGAACAACAGCTCTCACACCAAATCTCTGGGGATCTCTAATAAAAAAAAGTGTTCCTCTAGCCCAAAAATCATTCATTTATCATTGCTGTTTCCTATCACTTAGCCAATTCCATACCCATGTTGCTTCTGTCTTTTTTTAACTTCATGAGCTCAAACTTTGTTTACTAATCTGTTTTCAAAGTCCATTATTGCATCAATAGCATTATCCTGATTCAGTCTTCTGTCACCTCTTCAAAAAGCTTCAAATTAAACATTTTTCCTTAAGAAATTTATGTCAGTTTTTGTTAATTAACCCACATTTGACTGTGGCTATTAACTATGTCTCTAATAGTTTCTAGAAGCTTCTCCATCACAGAGGCTATTTTCTCTTTGGGCAAGCCCTTTACAGTTAAACCATGTTAAAATGATGCAAGGAAGTTTCTTCACAAATAAAACAAAATAGAAGTCTAGAATACCCTCAATGATGAGGAGGCTGGGCACCAAATAAAATTTTCAAAACTCAGGTTGATGGATTTTTGTTAGGCAAGGGTCATCAGGGGTTAAAGAAACAAGGCAAGAAAATAGAGATCTGATAGAGGTCAGCCACAACCTAAACCTCCTGTTTGTGAATTTTACTTAATTGTTCTACTAATTAGGGGATACAAATTAATTGTATTGAATAATTCTCTCATCACTCGGGTGGCTGGTGTACACCTCAAGATTCAAAATAATCTCAAATGTTGTGTTGCAGAGATAGTGTCCCTGGACCAGAGAGGCCTGGGTTCAAATCTCACTTGCTCCAGAGGTGTGTAATAACATCTCTGAACAGGTTGATTGGAAAAATAGGTTAAATTTTAATAAAAATCTCAGGGTATGGACACTGCTATTAATATCAACCATTCCAAGTTGGCCTTTTTGCTGGCAGACCGTTTACTTGAATGACCAGTCTGTATCTAAATGTTTGCACGATTCTGTTCATTAGAGTTCCAGGATTTTGACCCAGCGATAAAGGAACAATGTGCTTAAGTCTTAACTGTTGGCAGGAAATTGCACATTCCAAACCAACATTGTAATTTGAAGGAGAAAATGCAACTCTAAAGCACTGTAGCTCCATCATCTGGTGGAATCAGTCACATTTTATACTAGGAAGAAGCTGGTGACAGGGTTACTGCAAAATAACACAAAAAACATAGCTTAGCATGAGAATAGTCTAGCACATGAACATCATTCAGATGTTTGAAAGCTGTCTAATTCGAACTAATCCCCCTACTCTTTCTTCAGTTTTGCAGATTTTTATACTTCAAAGTATTCAGCCAGTTTCTTTTACAAGTTACAGAATCTGTTTGCATTGATCAATTAGACAGAACATTTGAGATTTTTTTGCCGATGAGTGACTAAGCGTTACTCCAGTTCTTTTGCCAATCACCCTACATTTGTCCAGTGGTTGTGTTCAGCTGTCTGGACCCCAATAGCTCCTGACATCTCATCAGCCCTCTCTACTTCAGTTTCCTCCTTCAGGGAGATGAGTGCTCAAAGACCCAAAAAAAAATTTGTATTTTTTTGACAAGGAATCATAACTATGGCACCATTGCTTGCAGTGAACACAAACGCTTCCAGGTCACTATAAATGTGTGGAAATATTAGTTTCCCTTTACATACCTTCTATTTCAAGACTGTGAACCATTGCATTTGCATTAGTTCACCAATATCGACATTCTGACCTCTTCGTTGTTCCACAATCTTCCCGGACAACCTCCTTGATGATCTGTGCCCTTGCTGTCCCCTCCTCGAGCAACCTATGCTTGATGCCCTAACCGTTTTCAATTACTTGTATGACCTCAAATTCGAACGGTTAGTCCTGAAGAATGTCCTTGTTGCTTGACTGCTCAAGAATTTCAATCCCATCTTTGGCAAATTGCTTCGAGTATATTCAAGCCACCCGGTCCATCATGATCCACACCGACTTTTCCGTGACAGCTTTCCACTCTTATTCTCAACTACAGAACCAGCCTCTTTGGAAAATTCCAGTCAGGGAATAAAACACACATTACTGTGGCATTACACATGATTCCACAATGGCATGCACCTCCTTGGTGTCAGTGACAAGGATGTCAGAGGGACTGCAAGGCATCCTTCAGAAGTCATGGTCTACATTGGAACCAATGACATAGGTAGGAACAGGGATGAGGTTCAGAAACCAGATTTCGAGGAGTTACAAAGGAAACTAAAAAGCAGGACAGCACGAGCAGCATTCTCTGGATTACTCCCAATGCTACATTTGGACAAAAACAAGCAATTTGATTGATTGATTGAACACATAGCTAGAATAGGTATAGCGGTAGGCTACGAGGTTTCTGAGGCATTGGGACTGGTTCTCGGGGTGCGGGTGGGACCTGTACAACTTGGATAGGTTACATCTCAACAGGACTGGGCTTAAAATCCTTGCAGGGAGATTTGCTACTGCCATTGGAGTTTAAACTAGTTTAGATTTAGATTTTATTGTCACATGTCCTCAAGTACAAAAGTACAGGAATATACTGAAAAGTGTACAATGTCGCCACATACAGCGCCATCTTAGGTACAAAGATAACCAAGCACAAAAACTTTCCCTTTTTTATGACTTTGTATCTAAGTTAAAAAGGTTAAGCATTACACACCATCACTGTACAAGTAGAAAAATAAAAAAGGTAATAATTAACATTAAAGTCCTTTTTAATATAAACTCGAAAAATAGAGAAAAGAAGTTAAAAATTCAACAGACTTGAGTGCTCATCAACGTTTGCTCTTCCCACATTGGACCCGACTCTGAATGACAAAGTCCACACTCCAGACCCAATGGAGCCACAACACCATTGCTGTTGCTGCCAATCTTCACTTGCTGCTTCCAGAACACACCCAGCAGTATCTGCTCCCAGCATCCGATAGCCAGGTATGCACTGAGCCCCACTCTCCCTGCCAGCCGCCTTTCGCTGCTTTCCACGATTTTGACGTCAGCTGACCCTGTTCATGCTGTTCAATTTCTCCACACTGTACAGACTCACGCAAGGTAAATAGAATAGTCAAAGATAGAAAAGTTTAAAAAAATGCAAAAGCAAAAAAAAAAAGTAAAATTGGACAGAGCAGGGGTCCAGGCAGCAACCTGTGTGTTGCACTCCTACTCAGCTGCCATCTTGGATTGGCTTGTCAGGAGGTGAGAACCTGAGGGGTTAATGCAAATTGGAAATAAAATTTAACAGGAGGTAGAACAGCTGCTTAGGGAGACTAGAAGACAGGAGAAACAAAACTGAGGATCCAGTATGTATTGAATGCTGAATAATGTCAGAAAGACAAAATTTAAGGCAGTCAACTTGAATATATGTACATTCACGAGACACATGATTGAAAAGCACAAATAGAGGTAAATGCATAGGATCTAATTGGCAATACAGAAACTTGACTGCATGGTGACCAAGCCTGGGAACTGGATATTCAAAGATATTTGACATTTAGGAAGATCAGACAAGGGGGAAAGGAAAGAGTTTGACTGATAATAAAGGGATGAGATCAGTAATCAAATCAGAAAAGCAATGTGTGGAATTTGGTTGGATGGAACTAAGAAACTGCAAGGTGCAGTGGGGAGGTAGTAGGAACTGCAGATGCTGGAGAATCCGAGACAACAAGGTGCAGAGCTGGATGAACACAGCAGGCCAAGCAGCATCGCAGGTGCAGTGGGGATATTGTTTCGCACTAAATAACAGTGGTTGTGCGGAGTATGGTATTAATTAGCTAGTAATGGGTATACAGCATGGGTAGCAAAGTTGAGTGGCTGCAATTTGCACATAACCTGCTCATTGACACTTAGTTTAGGTTCCGCAATGCGGGATAGGAAGGGAGAAGAGGAGGAGATGAGGAAGTAAAAAGGTACTTTGCATCAGCTGAAGGGTCAGATGGTGGATAAATAATCTGGACCAGATGGATTGCACCCCAGGGATCTGAAGGAAGTAGCTGAGGAGATTGTGGAAACATCAGTAGTGATATTTAAGGAATCACTGAGTCAGAGAGGGTCCCAGAGGACTAGAAAATGGCTGATTTAACTCCCATTTAGGAAGAGAGGGAGGCAGAAAACAAAAATAGTGGCCAGTTAGCCTGACCTCGGTTATTAACAAGATTTTAAGAGTTCATTAAAGAGGAAATCACGGAGTACATGGAGGTGCATGGTAAAATAGGCTATGTCAGCATGGTCTGTCAAAGGGAGATCATGCGTGACAAATCTATTAAAATTCTTTGAGGTGGTAATGAGCAAGTTAGACAAAAGACAATGAACATGATTTATTTGGATTTTGAAAAGGTGTTTGACAAAGTGCTGCACAGGAGACTGCTAAACAAAACAAGAGACCATGTTGTTTGGGACAAGGTACTGGTATGGACAGAGGACTGGCAGAAGGCAGCCAGGGGTTTCAGGATGGTAGCCAGTGACTAGCAGAACATAGAACATTACAGCGCAGTACAGGCCCTTCGGCCCTCGATGTTGCGCCGACCTGTGAATCCAATCTGAAGCCCATCTAACCTAAACTATTCCATTATCATCCATATGTTTATCCAATGACCATTTAAATGCCCTTAAAGTGGGCGAGTCTACTACTTTTGCAGGTAGGGCATTCCACGCCCTTACTACTCTGAGTAAAGAACCTACCTCTGACACCTGTCCTATATCTATCACCCCTCAATTTAAAGCTATGTCCCCTCGTGCTAGCCATCACCATCCGAGGAAAAAGGCTCCCACTGTCCACCCTATCTAATCCTCTGATCATCTTGTATGTCTCTATCAAGTCACCTCTTAATCTTCTTCTCTCTAACAAAAACAGCCTCAAGTCCCTCAGCCTTTCCTCATAAGACCTTCCCTCCATACCAGGCAATATCCTGGTAAATCTCCTCTGCATCCTTTCCAATGCTTCCACATCCTTCCTATAATGCGGTGACCAGAACTGTACGCAATACTCCATGTGCAGCCGCACCAGAGTTTTGTACAGCTGCAACATGACCTCATGGCTCCGAAACTCAATCCCTCTACCAATAAAACCTAACATACTGTACGCCTTCTTAACAACGCTATCAACCTGGGTGGCAACTTTCAGTGATCTATGCACATGGACACTGAGATCTCTCTGCTCATCCACACTACCAAGAATCTTACCATTAGCGCAGTACTCTGTATTCCTGTTACTCCTTCCAAAGTGAATCACCTCACACTTTTCCGCATTAAACTCCATTTGCCATCTCTCAGCCCAGCTCTGCAGCTTATCTATGTCCCTCTGTAACCTGCAACATCCTTCCGCACTATCCCCAACTCCACTGACTTTGGTGTCATCCGCAAATTTACTAACCCATCCTTCTACGCCCTCATCCAGGTCATTTATAAAAATGAAAAACAGCAGTGGCCCCAAAACAGATCCTTGAGGTACACCACTACTAACTGAACTCCAGGATGAACATTTCCCATCAACCACCACCCTCTGTCTTCTTACAGCTAGCCAATTTCTGATCCAAACCGCTAAATCACCCTCAATCCCATGCCTCCATATATTTTCTGCAATAGCTACCATGGGTCAGTGTTAGGACCACAACTTCATGTTATACATTAACCATCTGGACAAAGGAACTAAGGGCATTGTTGCTAAGTTTGCAGATGACACAAAGATAGGTGGAAGGACAAGTAGTGTTGAAGAAGCGGGCAAGTTGCAGGACTTCGGCACATGGACCAAGAATTGACAGATGGAATACAATATGAAAGTGAGAGATTATTCATTTCAGTAGGATTCAGAGTGAAGCAACAACCCTCTAGAACTGAGCTCATAGAATTCCTACAGCATGGAAGCAGGCCATTTGGCCCATAGAGTCATTGTGGACTCACTGAAGAGCATCCCATTGAGACCCACCTGGCAGAAACCCATGGAGACAGAGGGAGAAAGTGGAAACTCCACGTAGATGGTCACCCGAGTCTGGAATCAAACCCAGGTCTCTGACGCTATGAGGCAGGAGTGCTAACAACGGAGTCACTATCCCACCACAATCATCGTCTTACATTCAGTTTTAATGGGTTATTCAAAAATAACTTTAGATTGCTTCAAGAAAGGGCATTGATTTACATCAGTCTGGAATGTTCCTTTTGTTCCCAGAGATAGGCAAGTGATTTCAATCCACAAAATCAGTTAGGGACCATCAGGCAGACTGCTTTCCAGGTTTTATGTCCCCTTTTAAGAAAGTGTTGACTGGAAGTTCATAATGTACTTGGAAATGACAATACAAGGCCATCAATGATTAGAGGTCTAGTGGTCACATTCGTCCGAGAACCAGTTTCCATTCTTTGAAGACACTCCTCCCTGTGGTGAATAGGACAGTGTTCTCTAATTCCCCAACTCTCTGCCCTTTGGCCCTTCATTCACCACTATGCTTGAGGAGGAAGTTCTTCAGCCAGAGGGTACTTAATCTGTGGAACGCTGCCACAGAGGGCCGTCATTGAGTGCATTTGAGATAGATAGGTTCTGGATTGGTAAGTATATCAAAGATTACAGGGAGAAGGCAGGAGAATGGGATTGAGAAACATAACAGTCATGATCGAATGGTGGAGCAGACTCTGGCTAAATGGCCTAATTCTACTCCTATAACCCATGGTTTTATGGGTGCATGCACATTTGCAGTTACAGAAAAGTCCAAAATTTCCAAAATAGACAGCACCATTCTCCAGTATCACCCACTTTGAAGATCCCAAAGTCAGGCTCTCCCATGCCCCATTCATTCCTCAGGCTATATTTATCTGTATCTGCTCAAAAGAGGCTGGAAAGCATCATTCTTACACACGAGCAGACTGTGCTTCAACTTGTTCCAACAAATACATTACCTCCAACATCAATGAAGTGCTTTGCCGCCAAACCAGATCTTGGAGCTGTAAAGGAATTATAATAAAAAGAATTAATATTTCTAAATTTAATAAACAATTCTTTTAACACAAATGCGATACAACCAAATATTTGTCATGCTTTGTAATAAAAATGGTGAAATAATTATTCATAAAGTACACTAAAAAGATTTAACTTCAAGAAATGTCAAAACGTGTAGCTAACAAGACAAAACTCCCCCGTATCAAGGACAATGACCTAATGGATTCTTTTACTCCCTCCTAGTCTGCACCATTCTCCAGTATTATCTTTAGAACTACCTTGTTTTATACAACTCCTGAATCTCTGCATAAATAAGGATCCGGAAAGCGATAAGATAACCACAATGAGAACTTTATGATACACTAAGACACAAACACACCCTGTAACTCACACTCCCAGTCAAATTACCGAATTCCTCCAATGTTGTTCTGCTCAACAGCCTATGCCTATCTTCCTGTAAAGCTCTGGAGAACCGTTCAGCCTCTGTTTGCACATTTCCTTGCTCTTCACTTTTTTGCATGTCTATATATAGTCACTGTTTGAAAAGGAGAGCTATTTCATTTGTACCTTTCATTTTCTGAAAAAAAAAGACACCAGACAGTTGGCTCATATCAAATTTAAGAATTATGCTGGAACAAACTGGAGAAGCTTTTCAGAAATTGCAACACACAAAAGATGAAGTATGGCTAAGGCTTCCCCTAAAGACAAAGATTTTGATGTTGCTGATACACTTGATTGGACTGATGCAGCAAAGCAGCCTTGGCTTCACCTGAATGCTTGGGTCATATTTGGAGCTCACACTCCAAAGTATGGCTGGGCTAGGATCTACGAAATCAGTAAAATTCAACTGCCAAAGAATGAGCTGATCAGGAAAGCATCAGAGCAAGCCAACTAGCATTTCATCCAGAGCCCCAAAGTAATGGGATTTGAGGTCTACGTCCAGACACCTTTCAAATTATCAAGGCACTTCTAACCATATACCTTTCCCTCCAAAATAAATCAGTTGTCACGGTGATTGTGACTAGTGTAATAGTCACCCAAGATAATTTAAGCCTTTAACTGCTTACAAAGCTGCTGTATAGAACTTCAGACAAACAGCTACAGTACAGATCAGCAATGATCAACCACTTACCCACTCTGCCATAGAATCCAGGAGGAACTGCAATCTGTATATCAGTCTTCACAATAGCTTTATCCCGAGCAGGGATCACATAATCGTAAGCACTGTGAATGAATTCAAGAGGTATCAGGTCACTTCAACAGTAATCACATTCCCATCACTGGGGGCTGGGGGTTAGGGTTGGTTCTGATAAGAGAGAAACAGTTGGGGGGAGGGTAAAGAGGAACAGAAGGATTTACATTGGGGGGGGGGGGGGGGGGGGGCTTTAGGGGGGGGAAGGGATTTACGGGGGAGTCGGGGCCGCTTACCTGTAAAGATCGAATCCGGCCGCTCGCTTCGAGCCCCGGCTCGGGGGCCGCGCATTCTCGCTGAGCCGCGCGAAACGGAGCCGCAGGATCCCGTCCTCCTGGGGCCGCAAGATCCCGTCCACCCGGGGCCGCTTGGCCGGAGATACCGCGGGGTTGGAGGCTTCAGAGCACGGCATGATCCCGGGGAGAGAGAGACAGATATTGTGAGAGACTCCGGGTGGAGTTGACGGTTATGGTTGGGGGGGGTGGTTCTCCGGGAGCTGACGGTTACGGGGGGAATTCTCTCCGGGAGCTGACGGTTATGAGGTGATTCTCCGGGAGCTGACGGTTACGGGGGGGGGGGGGTGGATTCTCCGGGAGCTGACGGTTACGGAGGGGGGAAATTCTCCAAGAGCTGACGGTTATGAGGTGATTCTCCGGGAGCTGAAGGCGCGCGCAGTGAATCCGGGAGAAAGAGACAGAGAGACAATCAATGATTCCCGCCTCAAAAAGCCCGCTTAAAACTCCAGCCAATCCCCGAGGGCCAGGCCAAACCTTAACCAATCAGCTGCCGGTTACGAAACCTGACTTTTATTTTTCATTAAAGACAACAAGGTGCAGGGCTGGATGAACACAGCAGGCCAAGCAGCATCACAGGAGCAGAGAGGCTGACGTTTCGGGCCTAGACCCTTCATCTGAAAAGGGGGAGGGGGAGGGGGTTTTGAAATAAATAGGGAGAGAGTGGGAGGCGGATAGAAGAAGGATAGAGGAGAGGAAACAAACAGGTCGAAGAGGCGGGGATGGGGCCAGGAAAGGCGAGTGTAGGTAGGTAGGGAGTTAGGAAGGGGATAGGTCAGTCCAGGGAGGACGGACAGGTCAAGGGGGCGGGATGAGGTTGGTCGGTAGGAGATGGAGGTGCGGCTTGAGGTGGGAGGAAGAACAGGTTAGGGAGGCAGGGACGAGTTGGACTGGTTTTGGGATGCGGTGGGGGGAGGGGAGATTTTGAAACTTGTGAAATCCACATTGATACCATTGGGCTGCAGGGTTCCCAAGCGGAATGTGAGTTGCTGTTCCTGCAACCTTCGGGTGGCATCGTTGTGGCACTGCAGGAGGCCCAGGATGGACATGTCGTCTGAGGAATGGGAGGGGGAGTTGAAATGGTTCGCGACTGGGAGGTGCAGTTGTTTGTTGCGAACAGAGCGTAGGTGTTCTGCAAAGCGGTCCCCGAGTCTCTGCTTGGTTTCCCCGATGTAGAGGAAGCCACACCGGGTACAGCGGATGCAGTATACCACATTGGCAGATGTGCAGGTGAACATCTGCTTGATGTGGAAAGTCTTCTTGGGGCCTGGGATGGGGGTCAGGGAGGAGGTATGGGGGCAGGTGTGGCACTTCCTGCGGTTGCAGGGAAAAGTGCCGGGTGTGGTGGAGCTGGAGGGGAGTGTGGAGCGGACAAGGGAGTCACGGAGAGAGTTGTCCCTCCGGAAAGCAGATAAAAGTGGGGAGGGAAAGATGTCTTTGGTGGTGGGGTCGGATTGCAGATGGCGGAAGTGTCGGAGGATGATGCGTTGGATCCGGAGGTTGGTGGGGTGGTACGTGAGGACGAGGGGGATTCTTTTTTGGTTTTTATTGCGTGGACGGGGTGTGAGGGATGAGGTGCGGGAGATGTGGGAGACACGGTTGAGGGCGTTCTCGACCACCGAGGAGGGGAAGTTACGGTCCTTGAAAAACGAGGACAACTGAGATGTACGGGAGTGGAATGCCTCATCCTGGGAGCAGATGCGGCGGAGGCGAAGGAATTGGGAATAGGGGATAGCATTTTTGCAGGAAGGTGGGTGGGAGGAGGAGTATTCTAGGTAGCTGTGGGAGTCGGTGGGCTTGAAATGAATATCGGTTTCGAGGTGGTTGCCCGATATGGAGACAGAGAGGTCCAGGCAGGGGAGAGAGGTGTTAGAGATGGTCCAGGTAAATTTAAGGTTGGGGTGGAAGGTGTTAGTGAAGTGTATGAACTGTTCGAGCTCCTCGTGGGAGCACGAGGCGGCGCCGATACAGTCATCAATGTAACGGAGGAAGAGGTGGGGTTTAGGGCCGGTGTAGGTACGGAAGAGGGATTGTTCCACGTAACCTACAAAGAGGCAGGCGTAGCTTGGGCCCATGCGGGTACCCATGGCTACCCCCTTTGTCTGTAGGAAGTGGGAGGAATTGAAAGAGAAGTTGTTGAGTGTGAGGACGAGTTCGGCTAAGCAGATGAGGGTGTCAGTGGAGGGGGACTGGTCGGGCCTGCAGGACAGGAAGAAGCGGAGGGCCTTAAGGCCATCTGCATGGGGAATGCAGGTGTAGAGGGACTGGACGTCCATGGTAAAGATGAGGTGTTGGGGACCGGGGAATTGGAAGTTCTGGAGGAGGTGGAGGGCATGGGTGGTGTCACGGACATAGGTAGGGAGTTCCTGGACCAAGGGGGAGAAAATGGAGTCGAGATAGTTGGAGATCAGTTCGGTGGGGCAGGAGCAGGCGGAGACAATGGGTCGACCAGGGCATTCAGGTTTGTGGATTTTGGGAAGGAGATAGAAGCGGGCAGTGCGAGGTTGGGGAACGATGAGGTTGGAGGCCGTGGGTGGGAGGTCACCTGAGGTGATGAGGTTGTGGATGGTTTGCGAGATGATGGTTTGGTGCTCAGGGGTGGGGTCATGATCAAGGGGGCGGTAGGAGGAGGTGTCGGAGAGTTGGCGTCCGGCCTCGGCGATGTAGAGGTCAGTGCGCCATACTACAACTGCACCTCCCTTGTCCGCGGGTTTTATGGTGAGGTTGGGATTGGAGCGGAGGGCTGCACGTTCTTAGTTTTGTTTTAACCAAATCAATGGATAAGTTTCTACAGGCGTCTAGATTTGAATTAAATTAGATTGAATTAAATTAATTTGAATTGCGCATGACATGACATCCATTCATGAGAGCCAGAAGAGAAACGATGGACTAAATAGCCTCCTCCTACACAATAACAATTCTCTGATTCCCAGTTTTCATCCAAAACTCTCTTGTTTGTGTCCCAACTCACACCATTACCCATCCCAACTTTGGCTCGTAGTTGAGCACATACTCAACTTTAAATTTATTGTGATAACAAGGTGCAGAGCTGGATGAACACAGCAGGCCAAGCAGCATCATAGGAGCAGAAAGGCTGACATTTCAGGCCTAGACCCTTCATCGGAAATGGGGGAGGGGGTTCTGAAATAAATAGGGAGAGAGGGGGAGGCGGATAGAAGACGGACAGAGGAGAGGAAACGAACAGGTCGAAGAGGCGGTGATGGAGCCAGTAAAGGTGAGTGTAGGTGGGGAGTTAGGGAGGGGATAGGTCAGTCCAGGGAGGACAGACAGGTCAAGGGGGCGGGATGAGGTTAGTAGGTAGGAGATGGGGGTGGGGCTTGAGGTGGGAGGAAGAACAGGTTAGGGAGGCGGGGACGAGCTGGACTGGTTTTGGGATGCGGTAGGGGAAGGGGAGATTTTGAAGCTTGTGAAATCCACATTGATACCATTGGGCTGCAGGGTTCCCAAGCGGAATATGAGTTGCTGTTCCTGCAACCTTCGGGTGGCATTGTTGTGGCACTGCAGGAGGCCCAGGATGGACATGTCGTCTGAGGAATGGGAGTGGGAGTTGAAATGTTTCGCGACTGGGAGGTGCAGTTGTTTATTGCGAACCTATCGTCATTGTTTTGAAATCCCTCCACAGCCTCGATCCTCCCTATCTCTGTAACACCATCCCACCTCATGCCCTCCTCCAAAGTCTCTGCATTAGTCCAATTCTGCTGTCCGAGTTTGATTTTAATCATTCTACTATTAGTAGTCTTGACTGACCAACAGAGCCTGGCATTGCCTCCCTGAACAATTAGCCACTCCACTCCCTAGAACCTAGCACCCACCACCCCGCCAAGCTGTAGGTCACCTGCCTGAATCTTTTCACCTGTGGCATAATTGGAAATATTGTTTGCTAACAATTACTGTCTAAACTACGGGTATTGTTGGTATGCTGAAATTTGAGGAGTTATTTTACCAATGACACTTTACGGTGGGTCTCAGCTTAAACAAATCTTGAAAGCTATGCATGCTGTCTGTCACTAACTGGATCAAATCTACGACATTTACAGGTACACACATCAAGATAAACATCAACTGTGCCTGGAGGACCATCAACTCGGTGAAAGACATTCTATGGTCTGCCCAAAAAGTGCTGGTCTTCCAGTGCAGAGACTAGCCCATGACTGATTGTTGCAGACAGGCACATCAGAACATCCAGGACTGGACCCTGGGGGACATGGTAAAACTTGGGGCAGCTGGTGCCGAGGCACAATGGGGTAAGATCACTGCCTAAGGACCTTTCAGTCATTATGGACTGAGGGCTGGAAACTGGGCAATCCCTTGGGCTTCGTGTATTACAAAGGAAGTATATTGTTAATCAAGAGTATTGACAATACATCCAGGCACCTCAGAGTAAAACACGATGTATAAAGAATAGAGGGTTTGAGATATAATGAGAGTCTAGATAGACTGGCACTTTTTTCACTAGAACTAGGATGCTCAGGGGTGACTTTATAGAGGTTTATAAAATCATGAGGGGTATAGATAAGGTGAATGGCAGGTGTCTTTCTTTATTCATTAACATGATGAGGACATCACTGGCTAGGCAGCATTTATTGTCCATCCCTAATTGCCTAGAGGGCAGTTCAGAGTCAACCACATTGCTGTGGGTCTGGAGTCACACGTAGGCCAGACCAGGTAAGGGTGGCAGTTTCCTCCTTAAAGGACATTAGTGAACCAGGCAGGTTTTTCCCGAAATTCGGCAATGGACATCATTAGATTCTTAATTCCAGATATTGTATTGAATTCAAATTCCACCATTTGCCATGGTGGGATTCGAACCTGGGTCCCAGAATGTTATCCGGGTCTCTGGATTAACACTCCAGTGATAATACCACTTGGCCATTGCCTCCAAGACTAGGAGGCTTTTTTTAAGGTGAGAGGAGAAAGATTTAAAAAAGTCATAAGGAGCAATTTTTTTCTAAACACAGAGTGGCTCATATGTGGAATGAACTTCCAGAGGAAGTGGTGAATGTGGGTACAGTTATAGCGTTTAAAAGACACTTAGATAAGTACATGATTAAGAAATGTTTGAAGGGATATGGGCCAAGCACA